GTCACATGCTGATGCACAATGGAAAACGCCCCCATGAAGCAGTATATGCAATAAGACATTCACACTATTATGCAATCTGAAAAGACACATGATGATTCATTATGAATATCGTCCTTATAAATGTGAAGTGTGCAATAAGGGATTTACTGAATCGAAGGATTTGAGGATACACCTGAAAATTCATAGTAGGAAGAAAATCATTGATATATTATGATTGAATTAAATCATTTGTATTATTTACTGATTGTAAAACTTGTAATAAAAGTATTGGAAATAAACTCATCATATTTATTTATTCAAAATCTACAAAAAATCTAGATTTGTTACATCTAGTTGAATATATTATGAGCTTTTTTATACTTCTTCACTTTATTTAGGATTCTGTAATTGATGAAATAAGTTTCATGTATCTATTTTCACATTTGTGAAAAATTTAATTCATCTGCTGAATATAATTAGGCAACATACTAAGTTTTTATACTCATCATTTATTCTTCTTGCAATTAATTTAGTTTTCCATTTATTTATTCTTTAAATCAATTTTCCATTCATTTAAATTAAATTTCTAGCAATTTTGCTTTTGGACCATTTTTCTTCTGGCTTTTGAATTAAAAAACGACTTACATATATTCGCCAAACATTACTGTTGACTGTATCTTACATTATAATTTCTGGCACATCTCAGCTACTTTTCGTTTCGCAATAAAATGTAGAAATTACATTTTTCTTGTATATTATATTCTAATATTATCTAGTAGGTTCATAATTTTCAGCTAAATTCAAATTTCAAGTGAATTTACATTTCTAGCAAATGTTTTCAATGTCAAACAATGATAAGTGGTTTTTTGTAATTTTTGGTATTTATTCTATAATATTACTATAGTTTTAATCTTTTATTTAATCCTAAAATTTCCTTGACAAACTCTTAAAAGAATTATCAAAATGCGAATAACTGTTTAGGAGAATGTATCAAATCATACCCCGTACAGAAGAATTTTATATATAGATAATAATGTAGTTAACTCACAAATTTTAATATGTAATTAAAGCTCATACATCATTGACCACTTGAATAATCTTATGTGCTTTTCTTCATTCTATAGTAACATCCTCCAGTACGTTGACAAGCAGTTTTTTGTAAAAAAAAAAACTATCACAGTATTTTGAAAAGAGTTTTACACTAACTTTTCCATATATGCTTATTACAAAAGTTTCCTCTTCATTTTCTATCCTCAAAAAACTTATACAATATGATTTATTATAAATTTTACAATTATAAATAATATCTGATTTTGGAGACAGTTCCTACTTACTTTGTAATAGAGTAATAGTTCATTCATTTTCTCCTTGTGAATCAGTATGTGTCTTTTTAGATTACTCATTCGGGTGAATCTCTTATTGCATACATTGCATTCATACGGTCGTACTCCACTGTGTACCAGCATATGACTTTTCAGATGACTACTATTTGGAATGTCTTATTGCATATCTTGCATTCATGGGGACGCTCACTACTATGTTTGATCATGTGAATTTTCAGGCTTCCTAATTCTGTGAATGTTTTATCGCATATACCGCATTGATGCGGGTGTACTCCATCATGAATCAGCTTGTGAGCTTTTAGATAACATAAACGTGTGAATGTCTTACTGCATACATTGCATTCATAAGGGCGTACTCCACTGTGCATCAGTTTGTGTCTTTTCAGATGATTTAATAGTTTGAATGTCTTGTTGCATTGAGTGCATTCATGGGGGCGCTCATCACTGTGAATGAGCATGTGACTTTTCAAAATATCTAATTTTTGAATGTCTTATTACAAATGTTGCATTCAAGGGAGCGTACTTCGTTGTGCACCAGCATGTGTCTTTTTAGAGTGAAAGATTGTGTGAATGTCTTATTGCATGTATTGCATTCATGGAGGCGTACTCCACTGTGCATCAGCATGTGGCTTTTGAGATGACTTGATCGTTTGAAGGTTTTATGACAGATTTCACATTTGAAAGGGCGTTCTTCGCTATGACTAGGCTTGACCATATGCTCTTTTAAATTATCTGCTTCATAAGTGGCTGTCTCGATTGACTCCTGTTTGACTCCTTCTTCTATAGTCACTTCGGATATCATGAATCTTTCTAAACATGTTTCATCATTCTCAAAATACGATTCAGATTTCATATCAAGAAATTCATGTTTATCATCAATTTCTTGTACTAAATATTCTGGTGGTTCAATTTTAATTGCCTGATTTTTCATAGACATTATTGTTTCTTCTGACATTTTTAAATATTTTCACTTCGTATAATAAGTAAATATTTACAAAAATAGTTGTGTGCTAAACAATATCAATAATAATATATTTTAATCTTTATAAATATGATGATTTCAACTAATTTCAACATTACATAGATTATTTGACATTTGAAGCATAGAGTATGATTTACAAAGATGAGACATTTATCAAATCGCTTTGATATTTAACAAGTGGCGCATCTTTTCAAATTCATTATGGTTCTCTATGTCTCTGCTGCCACAAACAAATTCTATGCCGGAAATGTCATAAATTTAGGTTAACCTATTTTAAAAGAGTGTTGATTAAACTAGATTATTATTGTTATTGTTTAGCACACAGCTATTTTTATACGCAGTGAAAATATTTAAAAATGTCAAAAGAATCAATTATGTCTCCGAATGAACAAGCAATTAAAATTGAACCACCAGAAAATTTACCAGAACTTGAGGATGAATTATATGATCCTGATGCTATTGTTAAATCTGAATCGTGTTCTGAGGATGATGAAACGACTTTAGAAAGATTCATGAATTCCGAGGTGACTATAGAAGAGGAAGTCAAACAGGAGCCAATTGAGGCATCCGCTTATGGATGTGATATTTGTAATTGTTCATTTGCAGAATCACATCAATTGAAAGAGCATATGGTCGTTCACAAGCGTAGTCGTAGTAAAGAACGCCCTTTCAAATGCGAAATCTGTAAGAAGACTTATAAACTATTACAAGGGTTGAAACTACACATGAATACACATACTGGAAAGTTTCCCTTTAAATGTGAAATATGCGGTAAGACATTCAATAATAAAGGCCATCTGCCAGGACATATGTTAATTCACAGTGGTGAGCGCCCCCATGAATGCAATGTATGCAATAAGAAATTCACACTATTAGGTAGTTTGAAAACACATATGATGAGACACAATGGAGTACGCCCCCATGAATGCACCATATGCAAAAAGAGATTCACAACATCGTATGATATGAATGTTCACATGATGAAGCACAATGGAGTACGACCTTATGAATGCGATATATGTAATAAGTCGTTCACCCAATTAGTTAATCTGAAAAGTCACATGCTCATTCACAGTGGTGAGCGCCCCTATGAATGCACTATATGCAAAAAAAAATGCACACAATCAAGTAATCTGAAAACACACATGCTCACTCATAGTCAAGTACTCCGCCATGAATGCAATATGTGCAAGAAGAAATTCAGATATTCACATAGTCTTAAAAGTCACATTCTGTCACACAATAGAGTACGCCTTCATGTGTGCAACTTATGCAATAAAAGGTTTACACAGTATCGTACTCTGAAAAATCACATGCTCATTCACAGTGATGAGCGTCCCCATGAATGCAGTGTATGCAAAAAGACATTCACACTATTGCCTACTCTGAATAAACATATGCTGACCCACAGTGGAGTACGCCCGTATGAGTGCAATGTATGCAATAAAACGTTTACACAAAAAAGTAATCTGAAAACCCACATGGTCGTTCACAGTGATGAGCGCCCCCATAAGTGCAACAAATGCGATAAGACATTCAAAACGTTAGGTGGTCTGAAGGTACACAATGTTCAGCACTCACATCAATGCAGTGTATGCTATGAGATATTCGAAGAATTGAGTAATTTCGAAAACACATGATGATCATGATAAAGAGTAAACTTATAAATGTGAAATATGCAATGAGGGATTTACGCAACCGAAAGGTTTGAAGAGACACATGGCACTTTATGATGTGAATTCAATGAATTATTACTAACTCCAAATATGATTGTTTCAAAATGTCATGTATTATTTATGATTGTAAAATGTGTAATAAATCATTATGTTAATAATAATTTTATAAATCATAGTATGATATTTTATTGATTCTATTAATAATTTTGAAACATTGATTATTTTATAAGTCAAATGTTTAGTTACGATACAGGAAGTTCCAGCAATTTGCCTTAAGCCACGACGCTATGTACCACTAGAGTATTCTTTTCAATTTAAATTTTATTTTTTAACTTCCTATAGGGCAAGTTATAGCAATCGCAAAAAATCGAAAATAAAAATTTTTTATGTATCTTTACGTTACAAAGGTTGCTGATATTTTGGCATAACTTAGAAAAAATGGATTTATGAGCGTGTGTGCGGATACAAATTTTCGTCGACGATTTCGGGAGCACCGATCAACCGATTTAAATAATTAAAAAAACATTCGATTGGTATTGATAAGGAGACGTGTTGATTAGTTTTTGGCGAAGCAGGTCTAGCCGTTCCCAAGATACGGGGCAAAAAGTGCCAAAAACGGTAACTCAGTTTTTAAGAGAACGGAGCGTCCGATTTTAATAATTCAAAATACATTTTATTTGTATTGACAAAATGAAGAACTGATTAAATTTTTGGAAAGGCAGATCCAGCGGTTATGGACTCTCAATAAAAAGTTTAAAAAATGTCATTTTGGCGGTCAAAAATGTTTATTGGACATATGTACATTAAATTATCAGATATTTTATAGAGATTTTAATAATGTGTACATATTTTGTGTAATTTTTTTGGGTTCCGTACCTAGATTTTTAATTACGGTACGGGAAGTTCCAGCAATTTGCCTTAAGGCACGAGGCAAATAAATTTGAAAAGACGCGCCATGATAGGTGTCTCATCTTTCTGTAAACAAACTCTTTGCTTCAAATGTCAAATAATCAATGCCAGTTAAAATCATTATTAGATTGTTTATTAAACTAAATTTTGATTTAGCCCACAACTCCCCACAACTGTTTTCGTAAATATTTACTGATTAAACACAGTGAAAATATTGAGAGGTGTCGGAAGAAACAATTATGTCTATGAATGATGAGGCAATTAAAATTGAACCACCAGAATATCCAGCAGAAGACATTAAACCCGAATTTGTGGAGGAATTAGATGTTCCTGATGCTATTGGTAAATCTGAATTGTGTTCTGAGGAAGATGAAACATGTTTAGGAGGATCCAAGAAGTCCGAAATTTTCATAGAAGAAGTAGTCAAACAGGAGTCTTATGAATGTGACATTTGTAATCAATCATTTGCAGAACCAGATCAATTAAAGGAGCATATGGTCAATCACCTGCCTAGTCAAAGCGAAGAAAGGCCTTTCAAATGCGAAATCTGTAACAAGACTTTCAAACTATCAAGAGGTTTGAATCACACATGAATACACATTTAAGTAATCTGGATAAACCCAAGCCGGTGCAGAGTGGAGTACGTTCCCTTGAATGCAACGTATGCAATAAAACATTCAAACAATTAAGTAACCTCAATACACACATGCGCATGCATACTGGAGAATGCCCCTACGAATGCAGTATATGCAATAAGACATTCAGACATCAGGTAATCTAAAAACTCACATGCTAATCCATTACGGAGTACGCCCCCACGAATGCAGCACATGCAATAAGACATTCACAACAACAAGTGATCTGAAAACTCACATGCTGCTGCACAATGGAGTACGCCCTCATGAATGCAATACATGCAATAAAACATTCAGACTATTAGGTAGTCTGAAAAGCCACATGGTCACTCATAGTGGTGAGCGCCCCCACGAGTGCAACATATGCAATAAGACATTCACACAATTAGGCAGTTTGAAAAGTCATATGCTCATTCATAGTGGGGAGCGCCCCCATGAATGCAGGATATGCAATAAGACGTTCCAAGTATCAAGTCATTTGAAAAGACACATGCTGATACACAGTGGAGTACGCCCCCATGAATGCAATGTATGCAATAAGGGATTCACACGATTGAGTACTATGAAAAAACACATGCAGGTACATGACAGAGTATCCTTAAATGAAAAGAATGATGAAAATCAATGAACTATCACTAACTTCAAATATTATTGGTATGCATTATTTAATGATTGTAAAATTTCTAATAACACATTTTGTTAATAAATAATTTTATAAAATATAATATGGAATTATATATATATTCATTATAATTGTATTTTTAAGTGCTTCTGAATCAACTCTGACAATTAGTAAATATCAGATTGAGAGAATTGAATCTGCCCAGAAAAATATTAATAATCAGGTCAGATTCCATAATTATGAATAACTAGCTGTAAGTGGAATTCTGTCTTAAGGCAATTAAGGCATCGTGCCTTAAGGCTGGAACTTCCCGTACCAAAAATTATTATTTTTTTAAAACGATTAACATTTTTGAAAAAAAATACTTCGAAAAATAAGATTTTTGAGAAACTATAAATTGGACAAAAAATTACTTTAAAAAATTACTTTTTTTTTAAAAGAAAAATGTTTTCTTCATTTTGACATATTTTGCAAATTCTGAAGGTTTTTTCAAAGCAATCGTACTGCTTTCACTGCATAAAAACGAAATATCAAAGCGTGTAAGCGCCGCATCGGCGTCTAACGAAACATTGGTACGGAACCCACAGGAATGTTAACAAAATGTATACTTATTATTAAAATCTCTATAAAATATCTGATAATTTGATGTGCATATGTCTAATGATCATTTTTGACCGCCAAATGGCTCATTTTTTTACTTTTTCCTCCAAAGTCGTTGGACCTGCCTTTCCAAAATTTTGAACAGTTCTTCATTTAGTCAATACAAATAAAATGTTTTTTGAATTATTCAAATCGGACGCTCCGTTCTAACTGAGTTACCGTTTTCGGCACTTTTGTCCCGTATCTTCGGAACGGCTAGACCTGCCTTTGTCAAAAACTAATCAGCACGTCTCCTTATCAATACGAATCGAATGTTTTTGAATTATTCAAAGCGGTTGATCGGTGCTCCCGAAATCGTCGACGAAAATTTGTATCCGCACACACACACACACATCCATTTTTTCTAAGGTATTCCAAAATGTTCAGAATCCTTAGAAACGTGAAGATATGTAAAAATTTTCTTTTTAGATTTTTTTGCGATTACTATAACTTGCCCTACGGGAAGTTAAGAAATAAAATTTAAGAAACCCCTTATACAACTAAAGTGGTACATAGCGTCGTGGCTTAAGGCAAATTGCTGGAACTTCCTGTACCGTAACTAAACATTTGACTTATAAAAATAATCAATGTTTCAAATTATTAATAGAATCAATAAAATATCATACTATGATTTATAAAATTATGTATTAACATGATAATTTATTACACATTTTACAATCATTAAATAATACATGACATTTTGAAACAATCATATTTGGAGTTAGTAATTATTCATTGAATTTCACACCATAAAGTGCCATGTGTCTCTTCAAACCTTTCGGTTGCGTAAATCCCTCATTGCATATTTCACATTTATAAGTTTACTCTTTATCATGAATCAGCATGTGTTTTTTCAGAGTACGCAATCGTCTGAATGTCTTTTTACATACACTGCATTCATGGGGACGCTCACCACTGTGAATGACCATGTGATTTTTCAAATAATCTAATCGTTTGAATGGCTTATTGCATATGTTGCACTTATGGGGGCGCTCATCGCTGTGAATGAGCATATGATTTTTCAGAGTAGCATATAGTGTAAACGTTTTATTGCATAAGTTGCACACATGGAGGCGTACTCTATTGTGGGTCAGAATGTGACTTTTAAGATTACATAAATATCTGAATGTCCTCTTGCATATATTGCATTCATGGCGGAGTACTTGACTATGAGTGAGCATGTGTGTTTTCAGATTACTTGATTGTGTGAATCTCTTGTTGCATATAGTGCATTTATGGGGGCGCTCACCACTGTGAATGAGCATATGACTTTTCAAATTAACTAATTGGGTGAACGACTTATTACATATATCGCATTCATAAGGTCGTACTCCATTGTGCTTCATCATGTGAACTTTCATATCATACGATGTTGTGAATCTCTTTTTGCATATGGTGCATTCATGGGGCGTACTCCATTGTGTCTCATCATATGTGTTTTCAAACTACCTAATAGTGTGAATTTCTTATTGCATACATTGCATTCATGGGGGCGCTCACCACTGTGAATTAACATATGTCCTGGCAGATGGCCTTTATTATTGAATGTCTTACCGCATATTTCACATTTAAAGGGAAACTTTCCAGTATGTGTATTCATGTGTAGTTTCAACCCTTGTAATTGTTTATAAGTCTTCTTACAGATTTCGCATTTGAAAGGGCGTTCTTTACTACGACTACGCTTGTGAACGACCATATGCTTTTTCAATTGATGTGATTCTGCAAATGAACGATTACAAATATCACATCCATAAGCGAATGCCTCAATTGGCTCCTGTTTGACTTCTTCTTCTATAGTCACCTCGGAATTCATGAATCTTTCTAAAGTCGTTTCATCATCCTCAGAACACGATTCAGATTTAACAATAGCATCAAGATAATCTAATTCATCCTCAAGTTCTGGTAATTTTCTGGTGCTTCAATTTTAATTGCTTGTTCATTCAGAGACATAATTGATTCTTTTGACATTTTTAAATATTTTCACTGCGTATAAAAATAGCTGTATGCTAAACAATAACAATAATAATCTAGTTTAATCAACACTCTTTTAAAATAGGTTAACCTAAATTTATGACATTTCCGGCATAGAATTTGTTTGTGGCAGCAGAGACATAGAGAACCATAATGAATTTAAAAAGAGGCGCCATTGTCTCGAAATGTTGCACATTACGACGCTAGAGGCGCTAGTGTTCGTAGCAGGTTGCAGAACTTTTTGCAAAAGTTTTAAATACCAGATACTTTTGGTTCATGTACATGCCGATATATGAGTTTAAACCCATTTATATCTTACTTATATGTAACAAGCCTAAATCATGAAAAGAGATGTGTGCAATTTTTTAATTATAAGTATGATACACATATTTAAACGTAAATTATCTACATATATATAAAATAAGTCGGGTTTTCCTTCCTGACTATAGTAGGAACGAACCGATTTCGACAATTTTGCATTCGTTGGAAAGGTCTTGGGTTCCGTAAGGTTTATAGCTAAGAAAATTAGAGGTGGCATCGTGCCTCAATGCAAATTGCTGGAACTTCACGCACCGTAATTAAAAATTCGAGTAATGACATTAGTGAGAATTATCAGAATTATGCTTGCAATTAAGTCAACGAGCAATTCTTGCCGCAAAGAATAATAATACATTCAGTACATGCACTGAATTTCACCATTCAATCAAAAATTGCTGGCGATTTGGTGACATACCAATGATTCCGACTGATCTTTTGTTTGACTTCAAACGACAAGCGTTCGCAATGACAATTAATAAGTCGCAAGGCCAATCGCTTAGTGTTTGTGGGATAAATTTCAAATAGATTATTTAGAAAATCATTGTTTTTCACATGGGCAGTTATACGTTGCCTGTTCACGAGTTGGAAAACCATCCGCTTTGTTTGTATTACAGTCAGACCAGAAAACAAAAAATGTGGTTTACCAAAGGGCACTTCATTGAAACGGATAATTTGCGGATTCACTTTCATTTACTTAGAGAAGTTCAACTAAAAAACACTTCATTTTTGTAATCAAAATATATTTTTTACTGTTGTGTAATAAAATCAAATTTTTCCATTTCAAATATAAAACAAACAAAAATTTCTTCATCCGAAACCATCTGGTGGCGAAACGGAGTGCGTCGGGTTTGCTAGTTCGATATATAAATGATATCACTACACCAAACATAATAAGGCTCTAAAGACTTTGTTCAATGAATAGTTTCTTTCTGAAAACATTTCAAAATTTCGTCAGGAAGGAAAACCCGACATATTTTTATATTGATGTCCATGACATTTTGAATAAAATCATAAATATCATGTCTGTAAACAATGCTTTTAAATATTATTTCACTGATGTATATGTTGGTTAAGTAGTTAGTTAAAAATTAAGTTAAAAATTTGAATTATGCCGCAAAAATCAGTTTTACTATCATTTAATTTTGGGCAATAAAAATGCCATCTGGAAATACTATAATGTTATTATTACAAAATACATTTATTATAATTCAGTTTTAATTCAACTCCCAAGGAGTATATTACATGTGAAAAAGTGGGATTTATCAAAATTATTTTAGTGTATTTATATTTGTGATGGTTTTTAGGCTCAAATAAATTTATTTAAAACTTTTTGAAGAAAATGTTATGTTTTAAGTCGTTCTGAATAGTTTTAAACCATGTGTAAGTGCCATTTTGCTATAAGGCAAGTTGCATAATCTTAATAATCGACTTATGAAATAAATAACTATTGAATTTTAGTAACTTCTAAAACTTTTGACTGTTTTTTTTTTCAAAATAAAGTTCGTCCAAAAAACATTATTCCAAACTTTTCAAAAATTAATTACTATTTATTATTAAAAACATTAATTACACGATTTTTACCAAAAATTAATCAGCACGATTCCCAATTGATAACTTTCGAACAGTTTTTGAATATCAAAATTTATTCAAGATTTTAGGCAAAAATGTTCATGAAAAATTTGTTAATTATAAATAAGAAATGGCTTAACAGATCTTTATGCAAAACTAATCAATTCAGTCCTTATTGAGTTTTATTCAGTTTTCATTGAGTTTAAATTTTTAGATCGGTGCAGCCTTTTTTAAATTTTTTCCACAAAATATCAAATTTTACAATTCATTTTTTAATTTTTTTTTTCTAATATTTTATATTAATATTGTTCACATATATATTCTTGAAATGTTAATTTGCAGCCAATCGTCGAATTAAAAGAACACTAAATAATGATCTATTTAATTATACGTTTCGACGCGGTATGTGTGTCATCATTCAGCAAATTTTTCTATTAAACTAAATAAACAATATCTAAAAGAATTTATACAATGCTTTTTTTAGATTAAATTTAAAATATATGTATCCATTTTTTACTTATTTAATTTATTTTAATCTATAATATATTTTGAATTTAATCTTTTCAAACTTTGTGAAATTTCTTTTAGATACTGTTTATTAAATAAAAAAAATTGCTGAATGATGACACACATACCGTGCCGAAACGTATAAATAAACAGATCATTAATTTTTGTTCTTCTCATTTAATTACATTTTCAAATTTGATAAAATATAAAATTATCAAATCGGATTTTTTGGCAGAAACATCTCCTTCAAGAAGTTAAAAACGTGCATTGTGTTTCAACTTATCAAAAAAATTTGAAAATTGTAGTTCATGGTATCGTGCCTTAAGGCACATTGCTGGAACTTCCCGTACCAAAAATTAAAATTTAAAAAAAATGTTCAATTTTCTTTCGAAAAAAAATCGATTTTGAGATTTTTAAAATTTAGAAAATAATTGATCATTTTGAAAAATTTATTTTTTTCATACTTTAAATATTTTGGAAAGTTGTTTGTTCAAAGCAATCGCAATACGTTAGCGTAGTAATGAAATTTCGAAGCGCGTGGGCGCCGCGTTGCAGTATAACGGATTGGCACGGAACCCATAGAAAAAAAACAAAATTTGTTATTATTATTAAAATATGTATAAAATATGTGATAATTTAATGTGCATATGTCTAATGATCATTTTTGTCCGCCAAATGGCATTTTTGGTCATTTTTTTTATTGAATCTACGAAACTGCTAGAACTGCCTTCCCAAAAATTTCATCAGTTCTTCATTTCGTCAATACAAATAAAATGTTTTTTGAATCATTCGAATCGGATGCTCCGTTCTTTCAAAATCTCGATTTGTATTTTCTGCACTCTTTGCTTCGTATCTCCGTAACGGATGGACCTGCCTTTGCCAAAAACTAATCAGCACATTTCCATATCAATAGGAATCAAATGCTTTTTGAATTATTCAAATCGAAATCGTCGACAAAAAAATTGTATCCGCACACACACATACTCAAACATCCACTTTTTCTAATTATAAGGTATGCCAAAATGTTCAGAAACCTTTCAAACGTAAAGATTGTAAAAATTTTCATTTTTGATTTTTTTGCGATTTTCGGCACTGTTTGCCTCGTATCTCCGTAACGGGCGGACCTGCCTTTACCAAAAACTAATCAACACGTCTCCTTATCAATAGGAATCGTAGGGTAGTTATAGTAATGGACCGAAAATCGAAAATGAAAATTTTTGCATTTCTCGACGTTTTGAAGGTTTCTGAACATTTTAGCGTACCTCAGAAAAAAATGGATGTGTGTGTGTATGTGTGTGTTTTGTATGTCCGATTTGAATGGTTTAAAAAACATTCGATTCCTATTAATAGGGGGATGTGCTGATTAGTTTTTGGCAAAGGCAGGTCCAGCCGTTACGGAGCAAAGAGTGCAGAAAATACAAATCGTGTTTTTGAGAGAACGGAGTATCGGATTTGAATAATCTAAAAAAAATTTTTGTAATTTTGGATTAAAAATTCAAAAAATTACCCAGGCTAAGCACAGTCTAAGCGCCACTCTGGTACAAATGTTTACCCAAGTGCGTTTAGACTGTTTATATATTGAAGCACTTTTCCAATTTTGTGAAAACTATTGAAAAATGTGAAAATGCCGCCAAGCTAAGCACAGTATAAGTTAAAATGTCGCACAGAATTATTTGCAAATGCGTTTAGACTGTGACTTTTTCAATTTTGTGTAAATTAGGCAACTATTTTTTTTTGAAATTTAATTCGAAATGAAATGACGATTGTTAATGTTCAGGAGATAAATTGATTGATTAATGATTTACATTTAATTTGGTCAGATATAACAATAAGATAGCAAAAATAATGAAAGTTACAGTATTTCTAATAATATATTTGAAAACTATCAGAAATTTCTCGAATATTTCATTACGGTACGGGAAGTTCCAGCAATTTGCCTTAAGGCACGATGCCATGCACCACTAGTTTTCAATTTTTTGCGATTACTATAACTTACACTACGGGAAGTCTTAAAATTTTATATTAAGTGATAAATATAATAATAATGTTAATGATGTAATAAATATTTATTATAACAAGTAATTACAATAAACGTGAAATTGTTTGATGCTGTTAATTTTTAAAAATTGTATTTTAAATTAGTTATATTTTATTTACAGTGTTCTAATTTAAGTGAGTTCAAGTTTGTGCAATTAAAACAAATTACGTACACCAAAACATTTATTTACAAAGTTTCATCAACATACACTGGATAATAAATATTTTCGATCACATAAAAGGAGTTATAGGTGAGTCCTTTATTTATCATTATATATTAATATGATTCATGACTATTTATTTTATTTTTGCAATTGTGATATTATGGAATGTTTCATAAATATCCCTGATATGTACATTTTAAGGCACTTCAAATTTCCACCCAATCTATTACTATTTACTGTTTGTTCAGCATGTTGTATGCGCATCCCAGAGCCCAGGAAATTTCGTGGTTGTCGATCTTTTTTAGTAACTATAAAAATATAATAAGTATTATAATTTTATCTACAAATGTGTCTTTTATCTTATCTTACTTTTAAATTCGATTCAGGTTTTAATCCGAATCCGTCCTTTAGCAAGACCGATATGAATGTTAGATCGAAACACATGAAGGGCTGGTCGGTGTTTGCGGTTTTGCAAACGGCTTTTGCAGTTTTTTCAAATTCCCCAACTGTTATTTCGCCGCCCAAAAATGGATCTACACGAATAAAA